GTCCCCCCTTTCCCCATGCCCCTTCATCACACTCATCCCTTCCCAACATTCCCACAGATGAATCCTACAGCTCCTACCACCCTGTGGCCGACTTTCCCTTAGTGAGGGTGCTCAGGGACCCCATATTTGTGGAGGTTCGGCTGGTGCAGAAGACAGAACCCACATTGGTGCTGGGCCTGCACCACTGCTGGGCCTCTCCCAGCCCTGACGCCACGTCCCAGCCCCAGTGGCCCATCCTGGTGGACGGGTGAGGATGGGGGGTGAGGGGATGGAGGTGAGGGGGTCACCTGTGCCAACACAGGGTGCTTGTCACACATCCAGGTGTCCCTTTGAGGGAGACAACTACAGGACACAGCTGGTGCCTGTGGGCCCTGCCTCACCACAGCTGCCCTTCCCCAGCCACTATCAGCGCTTTGTCATCTCTACCTTCACCTTTGTGGATCCTCCTGCCATGGCTGTGCTGGAGGGAGAGGTCAGAGGGGGGTCATGGGGTTGGGGGAGCCCCTGAACCCCACAATGTTGAAAAAAACCATTCCAACCCCCCCAAACCTACCTTGGCACCAACTCCACCACCAGCTACCTATGGTGTCACACCATGACACACCATCATGGAGACCATGTGGATTTTGGGGGCTCCTCAACGCTTGAAGCCCCTTTGTGAGGGTCCCCAGATGGTTATCCCCCTTGTGGCTGCTTCTGGGAGGTTTCTCAAGGACTGGACCCCCATTTTGAGGGATCCCCAGCTGATGCTGGCCCAGCTGTGGCTGCTCTCAGGGGTCCCCAGCTGATGTTGGTCCAGCTGTGGCTGCTTTTGGGGGTTCTTCAAGGCTTGGAGCTCCTTTTCTGGGGATCCCCAGTTGATGCTGACCCAGCTTTTGGGGGTTCCTCAAGGCTTGAAGCCTCATGTTGGGGGTCGCCAGCTGATGCTGTCCCCACTGTGCCTCTCTCAGGTGTACATCTCCTGCAGTGCTTCCGTGTGCCACCTGGCCCAGCCCGAGCCCTGCCGGCCCTCGTGCCAGCTGGGAGTGCCCTCACGTAAGTGTGGGTGTCCCCAGGGTTCTGGGGGGACATCCAGCTGCCTTCCAGTTCCCATGCCAACCCCTTGTCCCCACAGGAGCACGTCGGTCCCTGAAGGAGAGGACAGGTGGCAGTGTGGGGACAGTCATCTCGCAGGGACGTGTTGTGTTCCCCAAGGTGCCCAAGGGAGGAGCTCAGGGGAGAGGCTGAGGACTGAGTGCCCGCTGCTCCCTAAACACCCTTTCATCGTCAAAACACCTTCATTCCAGCTCTAACTCCTCCTCTTCCCAGCTCCTTCCACCTAGACACTGTTGGACATCTCCTGGGGAGCTGGAAAATAAACCAGTGCAGAGCACAGCTCAAGGAGTGTTTTATCCTGGGAAGTGGGAGGATGGAGGGTTCCTTGTTCCCATTCCTGGGCTGGAAGCACCCACAGCTCCCCAAATCCCACCCTGCTCCCCCTCCGAGCCCTTCACATGAGTCTTCTCTCAATGGGATGACAGGGAATGAGTTTTTATTTCCATAAGGAAACTGCTTACAAAACCTGCACGGTCTTCCCTCCCCTCCCTCCTTCCATAAATCCCAGCCTCCAACTTCCAGCAACATCGGGACCAGAGTGTTTTGTCCCACCAGTTACAAGCACAAAACAATCTAAAGGCAGAAAACACATGGAACTGGGGAAAAAAACTAACCAAGAAATTCAAGGAGCACGGGGAAGGCCACATCGAACTTCCCCTGCATCCACAGCTACGACGAGGAGAGCCTGATAATCCCACATGGATAACCCCACTTTGGATAATTCCACCCACCTCCCACCCCAAATCCCAGCAAGATTCCAGCCCCACATCCAGGGTTACAGGCTGTAGAACTTGAGGCTCCTATCCATGCCTGTGGAGGCGATGAACTTGGCATGGTGGCCAAAGGCTACTCCCGTGGTCAGGCCACTGTGCTCTGGGGATGGAAAACAATCCATGGTCATGGCACTGAGAGGATCTATCACATTCCCATTCCCAACTCCACATTCCACACTCCCCAAATCCCTCACCTGTGAAGTGGAGGATCTCTGTCCACTGCTTGCAGATGTAGATCTGGACATCCGTCCCACCCAAGGCCAGGTAGGTCCCACTCTGGTCAAAGATCAGGGATTTCACCTGCGGAGGAGAAGAAGATTCGATCAGGAAGCTCCAAATTACTTTTTGGCATGCTGATCCCACCCCGCTCAAAACAGAGGCGAGGGTCACACACCTCAAAGTTGTTATCCAGCTGCAAAGTCTTGAAGTTCTTGAGTTTCCTCAAATCCCAGAGTTTGACGGAGGAGTCGTCGGCAGCTGTGGCCAAGTAGTAGCCGTTCTCGGAGAAGGCAATGCTGGTGATGGGACCAGAGTGTCCTGGGAAGTTGGCCACGTTGGTGCGTTCCTAGGGATAAGGTGGTTAGAGAGGAGCTGGTGAACGGGAGGAGGAAATCACAGCACCAGCATGGCAGTGTCATCATTCCGCTTCAGAGTTAACGCAGGAACAGATGTTCCTGCAAGCACCTTCTGGTTGTGAAACTTGGAGAAAAGCTCCCACAGTATCTCCCAAAGTTCTCCACTCCTTGGAGTGACCACTCTGGAGGGTCCCAAACCCAGCTCAGACTCCACAAAGTGTCCCCCTGTGCTCCCCAATGCCCTCAGGGCCAGCCCTACCTTCAGATCCCAGATCTTGATTTGAGAATCCATCGTTCCTGTCCCAAAAATCAGCCCATCCGGGTGGAACTGGGCACAGGTGAGAGCTGCAGAGACATGGAGAGAACTCAGGGGGTTGGGGAGACTCAACACAGTTGGGGAGATTGGGAATATTGAGAAGACTGGGAGGGTTGGCAAGACTCAGGAGTTGGGGAGACTCAAGAAGGTTGAGGAGACTAGGAAGGTTGGGAAGATTTAGTGTGTTGGGAAGACTTGGCAAGTTGAGAAGATTCAGGTGGTTGAGGAGATTCGGAGGGTTGGGAAGACACAAGAGGTGGTGGACTTGGAAGTGTTGAGAAGACTAAAGAGGATTGAGGAGACTCAAGAGCGCTACCAAAACCCACAAAACAAATCCCACAAGTTCCAGGAGCCCAGGGATCCCCAGGATAGGGAGAGCAGCCCTAATCCTTACCACATCCCGAGCTCTCATCTGTCACCTTGGTGAGCACACGGCCTGTCTGGATATCTGAGAAGGCCCAGTACTGGAAGAGAGGAATAGTGTTGGATACAGAAGGTCGGGAAGCACCAGAGGGATGTGTGGGGTGGCATGGGTCTCACCTGGTCATCAGAGGAGCTGAGCAGGTAGTCCCCAGTGGCATGGAGGCTCAATCCGGTCACGGAGCCCTCGTGGGCACGGACCACCTGCACGCAGGAAGCATTGGGAACGGACCAGATCCGGATGGTGGCATCGGGAGAAGCCGAGAACACCAAGTCCTATACAAGGACAACACAGGAAGGTCACCGTGGAATGAGTTCACCTCTCCCACAGCTCCTCAAAGGTGAAGACTGGAGATTGCGCTGGGACAGGGATCACAAAGATAGATCTGGAGCACCATGGGTGTGTGAGAAGAGGCCAAACGCACCTGGGATGGGTGGAACACGACACTGGTGACCTTCTTGGTGTGTCCCTTAAGGGTGGCCAAGATCTGCTCCGAGCTCTTGTCGAACACGATGACGTTTTTGTCAGCTCCACCTGGAAAACCAAGCAGGAAGTGCTGGGATGGAAGTCTGGGGCCAACCAACTAGAAATTCACCTGCTTTTCCTAGGAAACACTGAGCTCAGCATCTTTGCTGGGAGGTGAGGGAGAATCTCATGGCCTTTGTCCCACCTCAATTCCCAAAATCATGGAGGAAAGGACCTGCTCCCAGGTAGTCACATTCCCCATGGAGCCTTCCTTACCGGTGAGGATCTTGTTGGTGTCGGAAGGACAGAGATCCAAGGCAAGAATTCCTGGGATGCTGGCGCTGTGCAGCCCCTGTGTGAGGTTGGAGAAGCCCAAATTAATAGCATGAACCAGAAAACACTCCCAAAAGGAACTGAGGAGGAATTGAGCAGCTTCAAGAAATTCCCAGCTCCGTGTGGGAGTTCTTCCTGGCACTCACCACATGTGAGGCAACCTGCCGGTACTTGCTGAGCTCCTCAGGCTTCACCAGCTCCTCTGGAACTGTCTTCCCTCTCTGGAAAAGAGAAACAGCACACGGGTAACCATCAGCTTCTCCTGGAGTGTGCTCCAAAAGCACATCCCATAGAACCTTTGGATGAGGCTGCTCACCTTCTTACGCTCCGTGGTCAGCACCGTTGCCTTGTCTTGGAGCTGGAAAACAAGAGAAGAATGAGTATGGATTGAGAATTCCATGGTGGGAGGACAGAGAGGACACATGGAACACCCTTTACCTTCTGGATGATCTCCGGGGTCATGCCTGCCAGCTCTCCCAGATCCATGGATTCTCCAGCACCCTGGATGGGACAGGGGAACAAGGGTGAGGGGGGACACCCAGAGGAGGAATTTAGGGGCAATGAGCTGAGCTTGGAAAGGGGAATGAGCGGGAAAAGGGATGGGATAGAAATCTCACCGCCACATTGGGCTGTGATGATGGCACTGCCTGCGGCACGATGAGCCCAGCCTGAGGCTTCAGCGTGGCCAGAGCTGAGGGGACACAGAGTGAGTTGGGCGAGGCTGAGGGACACCAGCC